ACTCGCCTGTTCCTCTTCCTGATTCCCCCCGCCCAGCCCTGCCTCACCTCTCCCCCCCCCCACCAGCTCTGCTTCCTGCTCCCCCTTCCTTCCGTCCAGCCCCATGGCCCCTGCCCTCTGCAGCTCTGCTTCCCGCCACCCCCCTTCCTCATGCTCCCTCCCTTTCACGCTACCCAAGTGCAGTTATGAAAGCAGTAATAAAATATTTCAACCGAGGTTGAATTTTTATTGGCTGCCAGCCTTAGTAGCTCAAATTCACAAACTAGAATTACATTTAGTAATCTTACTTTAAATCAACTGTATTAGCATTTGGCTCACAAATTCTCTCACATGAAGCATGATTAAATCTAATCCCAAATTTAGGAAGCCTAATGTTTTCCCATCTATCTACAATATTAAAGCAACTGCTAACGTGTTCCTAATGTTAGGTACTAGAGCTAATTTTTGCTGATAAATTACTCTTAAATTCTCAAGGTTGTTTCAACTTTGTTTTAAAAGTACAGTTTTAGAAAAGTATCAGTTTACAACTTCTTCTCCAAACCCCACCAATCAAAGCAGAAATGGCCTCTCTTACAAGTCAGCACACATGCTTTTAATCTCACTTGCAAACACTGAAGATGATCACCATCTTAAAAACTCTGAAGAACAATAAGTCTATGAACGCATGTAGGGTATAAAGGTGGCTGTAGTTTTTTGTTTTGTTTTTTTTTTTAAATGACTACCTGGTAACCGCTAGTGATCCTATCCCTGTGATTATCACAGAGATTTAAACTGAGAAGCAACTTGCCTCTCCCCAGCCCCAGGTTCTTGGAAGTTGTTTTTTTTTGTTTTTTTTTTTGCTCAGCAACTTTGGTCCCCCTGTCCCCCCCCCCCCCTCCTTTTTTTTTTTTTTTTTTTTTTCTCTGTGGTTTCTGGGGGGGGGGTAGTATTTTTGTTTCAACCATCTGGCAACCCTAGTTGTGTTACCCTAGGGTATCTGATACTGGCCTGTCAGCAGACAGGATACTGGGCTGGATGGACTGTTGGTCTAACCCACTATGGATGCTCTTATGTTCTTAGGGTACACACAGCACAACCACAGTGCTCAGGTTCACACCCACCCTCATATATACAATGCACATGGTACAGCCTATCACATACACAGCACACATGGCACAGCCAGGCTGCTCATATCCAGACCCAGCCTGTCAAATACATGGCATGGCCAAGCCACTCAGGGCCTAGGGTTGCCAGGTGTCCGGTATTGACCCGGACAGTTTGGCATTTTCGCCTCCTGTCCGGTAAAAAAAAAATGCAGAAAATACTGGACACCTAAAATGTCCAGTATTTTCTGGTTTTTTTCCCCTCCCAGGTGAAAATACCATACACTTGGCAACCCCACACTCAGCAACTGGGCCTGGGCCCAGGCCCTGCCCCTGGACACCCTGCTCACCTGGTTCCGCAGGGAAGATCCCTTCTGGCTGGACCAAGAAAACAAGATGGCCACCTGCAAAAAGCCTAAAGACTTGAGCAAGGGGAAACAATGCCTTCCCTTGGTCTTAGTGCTCAACCTCTCCTCTTCCTATCCCTCTTATGATTCTGCATCCACTTAAAGGGGCCATTTATTTGCTTAATTTTTTTTTTTTTTTTTGCTCTGCTCAACAACTTTGGTCCCCCCCCCCTTTTTTTCCCCTCAACAGAATTCTTTCCTTGGTGTTTTTTTTGGGGGGGGGGCAGGGGGAGAAGGGTGTGTTCAGTATTATTGGTTAAACCATCTGGCAACCCTCTCAGGGCCACCCTATCATGTACACAGTGCACATGGACTGGCTACTCAGACCCAGATCTAGTCTGTCCTGAAACACAGCACACAGAAGCCCTACAATCAGGCCCAGGCCTGGGCTGCATCCTACATGTGTTTCCAAGTCTAAAAAACCCCACCCTGGCACTGTCTTTCAAACAGGCCACCTCATTGCAGAGTGAGGGGGAGTCAAGTCTAGGCCACATTTTAACAATTTACACACCAATGTATCATTTTCAGGATGTTGATGTGCAAGGTGACTGCACCAACACTACACCTGAGAACTAGAAAAGGAGATGAGGGGAGGGGGGAATACTTGGGTTACGTCTAGACTGGCATGATTTTCTGCAAATGCTGTTAATGGAAAACTTTTCTGTTAAAAGCATTTGCGGAAGAGAGCGTCTAGATTGGCACGGAGGCGTTTCAGCAAAAGCACTTTTTGCAGAAAAGCGTTTGTGCCAATCTAGACGTGGTTTTGCGCAAGTAAGCCCCGATTGCCATTTTTGCGATCGGGGCTTTTTTGCACAAAACAAAGGACTTTTGCCGGAACGGGAGCAGCACAGTGGTTCCACAAGAAGCCCTGATTTCTTACATGAGATCGTCAGTGTTCTTGCGGAAATTCAAGCGGCCAGTGTAGACAGCTGGCATGTTTTTCCGCAAAAGCAGCTGTTCTTGCGGAAAAAACTTGCCAGTGTAGACACAGCCTTGCAATGCAGCCCCTGGCCCAGCCATGGGCAACTTAATTCACGGGATACACGTGGCCCATGGAGGAACGCGGCGATTGGGAGGGGGTGGGTCACCTGGGTGGCCTACAACACTGCGCATGCGCAAAGCTGCCAGATACGCTGGTTTCCGCGTGATCAGGTTTTGCTGTTACTCACCCAACACGCACGTGACGCCAGGTAAGGTCGGCGCTGGTCGGTAAGAGCCACGTGCCTGTTGCAGCCAATCACAGCGCTGCCATGGTTCCCTCGGCACCGCACATTGGCTGTGAGAGCG